GATCCACTTACCTTGTTCCACTGCCTCCCGGGGGATCCAGCACATCCACCTTCAGAGGTATGGCTGTGTGGATCTCTCAGACATCCATTGTGTTATGTGGATGTCCTCTATCAGTTAATGAACGTCTTTTTCATTGTATATCAGGAGGGAGAGCCTAGGGGAACAGCTTACACTGCCATGTGGCTGACATCCCTCCCCTCTTAATTTCTTTTAACCTTGGTCCACAATCTGACTTTTACCACAAATTTGATCTCTCTCTTTAGCCCAACCGGTTCCCTCCCTCTCCATTCTCTGTCGAATGACCATAACCAAAGAATATTAGCATCTGTAGATTTCTTAGGACCTGATGGCCATCAGTCTTCAACCTTAAGCAACTTTTTGCCACCTTTCCTTTTATCCATCTGCACCCAACCTGAGGGCACAAAGGAGAGGTTGTTTGCCCTTGTAGATTCCCCCAGTCTTCTAGAATTATCTCTTTCTTTCTATGACACTCTCCCATGCTCACCCTAAAGCCTCTCTTCTTCTTTAGCCACGAATCACCCTTGTGGATCAATCTGGAGTTAGGCTCCAGGAAAAGCAGAGAATTAAAACCAAACACAGTAGATTATTCAAGCATAATAAGTCCTAACAAGAAAATGTAAGTAATGATCAGCACAGCCCACTACTGCAAGAACAAATCTGTTCCTGATACTTCTAGAGCAGATGCAAATGCCACTCATAGCATTAGTCACCCCAGTGGAGAATTGATGGCCTTGTGGTTGAGCAAGGCCTTACAAGTACCCTTTCTAAAAGCCCAAAAGCATGCCACCAGCATGAAGTCTTTCTCTTCAGTCAAGATAGAGGAAGAGTTAAGAAGGGCTCCTAAACTCATATGTCATAGGGTCCCAGTGTGTATGTATTCTCAGATCCTCAAGCAGAGTGAAGGTCTCCTTGCCTCATGCTCCTAGTGGAATTTATTCTCACCTCTGCTAGAACACGAATCACACTTGACTGGGACTGGTTGCTTACATGTCAGCCTCAACATGAACCTTTGGAGGGCAGGGACTGTGGCCTTTCATCTTTGTCTCTCCCGTTGCATAGCACTATGCCTGAATAAATGAGCAAATACACGTAAGCAGACGTCCTCCACCTCCATTCCCCAAAGGAAAGTACCTTTGTAGAAGCTACACAAATGCCCTTTCCAAAGCCAGGCCTTGTAAGAGGCAGTAACATCAAAGGAAGGCAGGAAATTGGGCTTGTATAACCTTGCTCCCCACAAAGTGAACACTTCTTTGAAAACAGAAGAGGGCAGGTAGCTAAAGCTGCTTAAAAAATAAGAATGTGGTACCCAAGAAGCCTAGGTTCAAGTCCCATTTCAATATCTCATAACCTGGGTGACTTTGGGCAAGTTGTTTCACTTCTCTGAGTTTCACTTGTTTCACTTCTCTGAGCTTCACTTTCTCCATCTGTGAAATAGGGAGAATAAAACCTATCTCACAGGCCTATCACAATGATTAGATGCAATTGAAGAAGAGAAAGTATCCATTTCCATGTCTGGAACAGAAAATGGTCCTTGACAAAATTATATCAGCAAACAATATTTATTTTATTGTAAAGTTCACTGTCAGGAAACAAAGCAATTTAACCTGTACCTTGCTTTTGCTGTTTTTAATTGCTAAGAAAAAATGTGGAGAATATCAAGTGTACTCAAATGTTGGATCAATGTAAGGGGTGAAGATGCGGGACAGGACAATGGTATAGTTGGATTACTAAAGCAATGAGGTTGCTGTGCATTGACCCTCAGGATGGCAGGCAAAGCTCTGATCAACAGAGCTGAAGTGGAATGACAACTGCAAGGTGCAGAGTGGGTCAGTGGATGTAACAGCTCCCTCCCTGTGACACTGTCATTCAGGCTGCTGGCCACCACCTGGGACTAACAACTATCAGTTTATAGCTCAGGGTCAGAGCTGTTTGTAGTTTTTGCTCAATTGATATCTGTGCTAATGCCTGGAATCTATCACTGGAGTGGCAGCCAAAATGAGGAGGAAGGGAGGGAATAAGAGGTAAGGAGGTGGGAATGGGCAAGGCTCAAAGAGGCAACTACAGCAGAGTTTTGGCTAATTCTTCACCAAGGCTAGGACTACTATCTTAGTTTTGCATTCTGTAGCCAAGGCTGGAGGCATGGGGCTTTGAAAGAAGCTGCATCACACTAGCCTGTTGCTAACTGATTTAAGGCAAAAAGCAAAGCCAGGTAATGCTGTGGTGCAGATTTAGATTGTCTGGCTGATACTGGACAGTCAGATCAGTACTTAACTGAAACCATTCAATCAGGGCATCTGCAGCCAGCAGCCTGGGGCAAGACTGTGGAGGAAGGGGAAGAGGGGAATGCCGCTGGGATTTAACTTTGCAGCAGAAGATGGTGAAGGTAGAACTGATAGCGAGGACTAAGTTACTGTGTGTGCTGAGCTGATAGGATCTGGCAGATGTCTACATAGAAGTCTGGCTTTACTTGGCTACTTCCCAGAAGAGGCAAATGTTAGGGAGGGGAAGGGCAGGGGGAGGAAATTAACATATGTTAAATATTTTATTTGTTATTCCTTTTAACCCTAGCAATAATTCTGTGAGGTGAGCTGTTTCTCCCATTTACAGATATAGAAACCAAGGTGCAAAGAGGTTAAATAACTTAACTGTAACCATACAGATGCATCAGTGGGTCAAGCCAGAGAATTCACAGAGTCAGTTACTTAGTGGAAATCTTATTAGACCCCCATAGAATAGCTTTTACTGAATTGTGCTATGAGACAATTCCATCAGCCCGAAAGCAGAAGAGTTGTGCTTTACTTGAACAACTGGCTTGTTGTTACTTTAAAAACTTGGAATTATATAATTGTTGAGTTCTTTCTCTTTTCGTTTTCTCTAGAAAGTTTGGAGCCAAATCTGTGACACTGTTCCAGCAAGTGTGTAAGGCTTCACAGGAAACATTTTGTGTACTAACTCCATTCTTTACATCTCCCTACTATCCTACCATTTTTCCCCCTCTTGGCCTTATTTTTTCTTACCTGTATTCTAGAATCTAAGGCAGAAGTCAGCAAACTTTTTCTGTAAAGTATGATAGTCAATATTTTAGGCTTTGCAAGCCATAAGGTCTCTGTTGCCACTACTCAATTCTGCTGTTGTAGTGTGAAAGCAGCTCTAGACAATATGTAAATGAAAGAGCATGTTTCTGTTTATGAACATGGAAATTTAAATTACATATAATTTTCACATCATGACACATTATTTTTCCTTTGTTTTTTCTCTATCTTTTTTTTTTGTCCTTGTTAAATTTTATTTTTTTAATTTTTTGTTTATTGCAGTAACATTGGTTTATAACATTGTATAAATTTCAGGTGTACATCATTATACTTCTATTTCTGCATAGATTATGTCATGTTCACCACCCAAATACTAATTACAACCCATCACCACACATATGTGCCAAATTATCCCTTTTGCCCTCCTCCCTCCCCCCTTCCCCTCTGGTAACCACCAATCCAATCTCTGTCCCTATGTGTTTGTTTATTGTTGTTATTATCTACTACTTAATGAAGGAAATCATACGGTATTTGACCTTCTCCCTCTGACTCTACCTTTTAAGGCCATAGTTTGCTAAGCCCTGATATAAGCTTCAAGAGGGCAGGCACCTTGTATGTCTTATTCACTCTTATGTCTTCAACACCTAGAATGGGGCCCGGCACACAGTAAGTACTCAATAAATACTTGTTGAATAGATTATTCTTACTATTTTTAAGTTCTTACATTTTTCCTGTATTGTGAAATGCCTTAAATCCTTTTTGGAACAGGAAAGGATATAAAACATAAGGCACATTTTTAGAAGTTCATTTAACTAGCAAGTAAAAAAGCCAGGATTTGGATCTAAGATTTTGTGATATCAAAGTCCATATTCTTTCCATTATACCATACTATCTTCATAGAATTATATCCCCCCCGGGGCCGGCCCTGTGGCTTAGTGGTTAAGTGCACACGCCCTGCTACTGGTAGCCCGGGTTCATAGCCCGGGCACGCACTGACACACCACTTGTCTGGCCATGCTGAGGCGGTGCCCCACATACAGCAACTAGAAGGATGTGCAACTATGACATACAACTATCTACTGGGGCTTTGGGGAGAAAAAGGGAAAAAGAAAAGGAGGAGGATTGGCAATAGACGTTAAAAAAATAAAGAATTATATCCCCCCAACCAAATCCTCTCCGGATTAGCCCCAACCTCCCAACATGAGTCTCCACATGTAGTAGCCAATTAAATTTGCAGAGGTTAGTCACATCTTGAATTTGTAATTTAAAAGTCCAGAGTTTTACAGAAGTTGTGCCTCTTTGTCCCTGTTTCTACTAAACTAAAATGTGAGAATCAGAAAACAACAGTTCACAGATTCAAAGCTTCTTGTACGAAGGTAAAGTGATAGTTCTGTCTTATTGGAAAGAACACAGGCTTTGGTGCCTGCCAGACTTGGTAAGATTTAGATCCTAGCTGTCAGTTACTTTTAGCTGTGAACATTTGGCAAGTCACTTGCCTCTAGGAGCCTCAGTTTTGTAGTAGAAAAAAACAATAATAATATATTCTTCATAGTAAGGCTGTGAGGATCAGAAATAGTATGTCAGTCCCTAGTACAGTGCCAGGCACATAGCAGATAAATGGCAACAGCATCAATAATAGTATTAATAAATAATATCATTATTATTAACTTATTCCACAAATAATGAGTGCCTAGTATGTCACAGTTAGGCATTATTCTGAGCACTTGGGATATAGAGGTAAATAAAACAGGCCAAAAATCCCTGCTTTCATGGAGTTTACATTCTAGTGATCATTGTGAATGGTTTTTATGTTCTTGCCCACCATTCCAATATTAGGGGTAGTATGCTGGAACAGATTTCTACTTAAATATACCAACCTCAGAAAGATCTCAAGGTGCAAAGTAGTTGGGTTCAGTTCTGGGTCCCATGGGATTCCCAAGTACTTACCCTCCTTGTGGTGAACCACGGGCCGAGGAGCTGGTCTCTTTATGTGGAAAGAGGGAGCTTTGGTGGGCCCAAAGCCTGGCACAGGTCCATTGGTGGCCTTTGGTGTGGCCTTGGTCCCTCCATCTTGCAGCCTAGGCACCAACTTCCCGATGTCCACCTCAGGGCATGACTCCAACTTGCCATCTGAAACAGGCCTGCTTGGGGATTTCCTCCCAGGATCAGCTTCCCCACTCCTCTGAATAGGCAGCTTTGGGTATTGTGGTGGCTTGGGGGGTTCTATACCGCTTGTGATGGTACCATTGGGTGTTTGATGTTGGATTTCAGCTAGGAAAAGTTGGTGCAAAGAAAGAAGATTAATGACAACATTTATCACCTGTTCATTTTTATACATGCATACATAATATTGAAAAATTATACACATTTTCAAAGGAGCTATTATTATGGAAAAAATCAACAATATCCCACAAAATCAGTCTCTACCTACTCCAATTCATGTGGATTCACAGGTCCCATCAAATAGGGAATTGAGTTCAAGATCTGAGTATGATTTTCATGACCACAATTCAGTAAAACCACAATACATCAAGATGCTTTATTCAAAGGATTATGTAATTCAAAAGGGACTTAAGGGTCTCCAATCAATTGTATATTCTATTCTTTTAAAATAAAAACATCAGTTAATCCTTAACTATTTCTATTTCTCTCAAAAGTAATTTGTAAAGATCTCTCAAATTTCAAGTTAATAAACTTAACAGAATGTAACTTCTTTCTCCACCCTCATAAAGAAATCTCCAACTAACCACTTTATGTTCTTCCTCTAGCTTTTGTGGTCTACAATTTCCTGTGACAATAGTACATGCTTTTCAGTTGTTCTGAGTCTTACTTAAAGCTTTGAGACTCTAATGAGAGCCAGGGATACTCTCCCTAGAAAAATTAACCTACACAAATACATGCAAAAGTTTGAAAACTAATTTTAAGAGATTCATGAAGCCGCCTGAAACTGTCAATGAACCCCTGATCGAGAACTACTGCTATAAGGAAAATGTCACCTTCCTCGTTAATAGAAAACCTAGATCAGAGTGTACGTTAAGAACAGAGGTTCTGGTTGGCTAAATGAGACAGGAGAGACATGTCAACCCATTGTAATACATGGATCTTATTTGAATCCTGATTTAAAAAAAATGAAACAATAGGAGAATTTAAACACTGACTAGATAGTGATATTAAGGAATTACTGGTTTATTTTGTTTTCTGTTCTTTTAGGTATGATGATGGTATGTCAATTTTGGTTAAAAAAAGTCCTTATCTTTTAGAGATACATACTGAAACATTTATGGATGAAATGGCATGATGTCTGGGTTTGGGGAGTGGGTAGGGGCACAGATGAAACAAGATGGGGTGTGTGGTGGTAAATGTTGAACCTGAGTGATAGGTTCATGGGGAGTATGCTATACTTATTTTTTCGACTTCTGTTTATGTTTGAAACTCTTCATAATAAAATGTTAAAAGAAATGCAGACTTTGTGGCCAGGTCTGAATCTTAGTTCTGCTTCTTACCAACTGTGGGCCCTTGGGCAAGTTCATAATCTCTCTGTCCATCAAATTTTCTCCTCAGCAAAATGGGTATAATAATAGTACCTACCTCATGAGGTTGTGGTGAGGATTACATGAGATGGTATACTTATTTCAGTGCCTGGTACATAATAAACACTCATTAATTGTTAGTTACTATTTATACTATTATGCTCCAACTGGGCAATGAGGCAAAAGTTTCCATGTGGGAAGGAAGGGTTAAGTCTTGCTGCAAAGACTTTTTCTCCCAGAGAGTTTTCTTCTTGGGAATCTATCACCAATCACTGCTGCCACCACCACAGGGGTCAGGGCCAAGAGGAATTCCTCTATAGTTCCCCAACTCTGGTCCCAGGGTAGATATATGGCCCTGCTTTTTTTTTAACCCTAGCACAATTGCCATCAGACTAGAGCAGTCAAACAAAAAAATTACCAAAGGCTTATAAATAATAGGAGGGACATAAGCACAGGAGTGCCATGTAACTAGATCACATGCTTCCAGGACATGCCTTATGGCAAAGGCCACCTTTAAACCTCCAGCACTCAGGAGTAACCTCAACCACATTTACCCTCTCAAAACAATGAAATTAACAGTGACATTAATTCCTTCTCTCACATACTTTAGGCCCAATATCTCAGTTACATGTTTCTATCTGAATACTTTCTTCTTATGGAGGAGAAACCATAGGAATTCTATCCCTGCTCTCCTTTACAGGAGACAACAGGGGCTGGCTTTGCCCTAGAGGCGATAACAGTATTATCATCATCATATCAATATAATATAATAGGTCCAATCTCATAAAGATAATCCACATACACAGTCTCAGAAAGGCCACTACCTTCTACATGGGAAAGGATCTTTTCCTGGCTTGGAGAACTAGGGGATGGAGTGATAGCAGCAATGGGGACTTTGGAACTAGGCCCTTCTGCCAGTGAAACCATTTTCAGGTTCTTGGATATGCTGAATAATAATGACAAAATAGTAATGATAATAATAATAACAGTGATAATAATGATAATGATAACAGATACTATTATTTGAGCGCTTGCTCCGTGCCCAGTCCTGTTCTGAGTGTTTTACCTGGATTATCTCAGGTAATCTTCAAAACTACTCTAAAAAGTAGTAAACTCTTATTAGTCCCATTTTACAGATAAGGACTTTAAGGCACTCAGAGGTTCAGTGTCACAAAACTAATGTGGCAGATCAAATTTTAAAAGCTTGAAGTCTGTTTGCAGAGTCTATACTCTTTCTGAAGAGAGAGTTCATTGCTCCTATCAGGTAATAAGAGTTCAGTATCATCGCCTTTCTCCAACCAGCCATCCATTTCCACAGGAAAACACACAGACCAGCTTCAGAAACTGCAGAGAACTGGGAGGGAATTAGTATCATACAAGGAGGACTCATAAATAGGCAAGTGGTCAACTGGGGGTCTCTCTTTTATGTGTGGGTAAGTCATAGGGAGGAGCTTTGAGAGTTTGCACACTAGTCCAGCAGGAGAAATAGATCAATTATTATAATACAAGTAGAATCATGCAAATAAGTGCTATGAGGAGGACAATGCTAATTCTGTCTAGAGGGGCTGGAGAAGACCCTGTAAAAGAGGTAACATTTGAGCTGGGTGGAAAAAAGTGAAAAGGGAATTTCAGACAGACAGCAACTTGGAGAAGTGAAAGATCGTGGTTTGTATAAGAAAATGTAAAATAAAAATAAAACTTTAGTGTGACTTGAGCATAGGAATGAATTTTAGATGAAAAGTGTGGGGAGTTGGAGATGAGGTTGTTAAGGTGGATTGGGGCTATATCATGAAGACATGAATGCCATGTTCAGGAATATGAACTTTATCACTGGGCTGCAGAGGACTATAACTTCTTTTGGCAGGGAAGTGGCATTATCACATGTATTTTTAGAATATCCTTTTAGGTTCATTATGAAAAGTAGACTGAACCAGAGAGGCTGGAGGTAAAGAGACAAGATAGCGGACTGCTGATGAGAAAGATCTAAAGTGGAGCAGTAGCAGCAAGGAGAAACAGATTCAAGAGATGTTAAGGGGGTGGAATGGACAGGGTTAGTTATGGGAGTATGAAGGAGTCCATGATGATGGTGGAGGACTCACTGAAATACTATATACAGGGGAATAACAAATTTGGGGTAAGATAATGAAATGTTACTGGTAAAGAATGGTGATGAATAGAAGGATTTTTTCCTTCTCAAAACAGTGGTCAGACAGGTTATAGGAACTACATATTATAGTAGACAAATGAGCTCTGGAAAAAGATGGATGCAAATTGCTGCTCTTTCATTCAGTAGCTGTGTGAATTGGGCAAACTATTCATCCTCTTTAAGCCTCCAATGCCTTCCGTATATAAGAGATCTCAATATACCCACCTTATGTGGGAAGTGAAGAGGATTAAATGAGTACAGATTCACAGCCACTTAGGATGGCTAGAATTAAAAAGATAAGATATGGGAACAACCTAAGTGTCTGTTGACAGATAAATGGATGAAGAAAATGTGATGTATGTATATATGCAAATATTATTCAGACTCATATAAGGATATCTTGTCATTTGCAACAATATGGATGAACCTGGAAGACATTGTGCTAAGTGAAATAAGCCAGACATGAAAAGAAAAAAACTGTAAACTGCATTTACATGTTGAATCTAAAAAAGTCGAATACATAGAAGCAGAGTAGAACAGTGGTTACCAGGGGTGAGGAGGAGAGGGAAATGGGGAGATGTCGCTCAAATGATACAAAGTTGCAGTTATGTAGGATGAATAAGTCTAGAGATCTAATGTACAATATGATGACTATAGTTAATAACACTGTAATGAATACTGGAAATCTTCTAAGACAGTAGATTTCAGGTGCTCTCATCCAAAAAAAAAAGTAGTAACTTGTGAGGAGATGACGTTAATTAGCTTGACTGTAGTAATCATTTCACTATGTAATATGTGTATAAAATCATCATGTTCTACACCTTAAAAATATATAATTTTTACTTAAAAAACTCCAAAATGAAGTGTCAAGTGTTGGAAAAGATATGGAGAAATTGGAACTCTCATCCATTATTGGTGGGAAAGTGAAGTGGCGGAGCTGCTTTAGAAAATAGCCTCAAAATACTTCCTCAAAAGTTTAAACATAAAGTGAACATATGACCCAGCAATTCCACTGCTAGGTATATACTCAAGATCATTGAAAATATACATCACACAAAAATCTGTCAACAAATGTTCACAGCAGGATTATAGCCAAAAAGTGGAAACAACCAGTGTCTGTCAACTGATGAATGGATAAACAAAATGTTGTATATTTATATACCACAATATTACTTATCCATAAAAAGGAATGAAGTATTGATATATGCTACATCATGGATGAACCTTGAAATCATGCTAAGAAGCCAGCCACAAAAAGACAACATATTGTATTATTCTATATATATGAATAATGTCCAGAATAGGCAAATCCATAGATACAGAAAGTAAATTAGTGAATGCTAGGGATTGCGGGGAGGGGGGTATTGGGAGGTACAGGGATTTTGGGGAGATGAAGATGTTCTAGAATTAGATGGTTGCACAAGCTTGTGAATATATTGAAAACTACTGACATACACTTCAAAAGGGTGAATTTTATGGCATATGAATTATATCTCAGAGTAAAAAAAAGTCAAAGAAAATAAATGTCTAGACTGGGTAATCCCATTGGTGATCTGGCACAAAGCCCTCATCACACAGAGGGGCAATCCAAGACCCAGAATGGGGAAATGACTAGCCCAAGTCACTCAATAAGCTAGTGGCCAAGATGAAATTATACCTTGGGTCTACTAACACCCAGTTCATTTATTACATACATTTATTGAGGATTTACAATATGCTGTGTGCTGTGCCGGTACTAGGAATACAGAGTGAAAAAATAATTTCTGCTGGCATAGAGATTATATTCTCTGGTATGTATTTGGGGAGATTGTGAATAAACAAATAAATGAATTTAGCTAATAAAAATGAGATTATGGAACAACAGAGTAGGCATTCAATATTCCCTTCCACTTTCTCCTTCACAGAGGAGGTGATGTCATAATTTATCTCTTTTTAGATTGTGCATCCATTAAGAAATTACTGTAGCTATAGTTATTTTTAATACTTTGTATTTTAACTTTTATACTAGAGTTAAAAGTGAATTACAAACCACTGTAACAGTATTAGAATATTCTGAATTGGACTACATTCTTATCTTTACCAATGAGTTTTATACTTTCTTATGTTTTCATGTTGTTAGTGTCCATTTGTTTCAACTTGAAGAACCTCTTTTATCATTTCTTATAAACCAGTTTCAGGGGTGATGAACTCCCTTAGCTTTTGTTTGTCTGGAAAAGTTTTATTTCTCCCTCATTTCTGAAGGACTGCTTTGTCCAGTATAGTATTCTTGGTTGGCAGTTTTTTCCTTTCAGTACTTTGAATATATTATCCCACTCTCTCCTGGCCTGCAAGGTTTCTGCTGAGAAATCTGTTCATAGTTTTATGGGGGTTTCTTTGTATGTGATGACTCACTTTTCTCTTGCTGCTTTCGAAATTCTCTGTTTGTCTTGGAATTTTGAGAATTTTAGTATAATGTGTCTTGGTGAAAATCTCTATTTTTAATCTATTTGGGTTTCTTTGGGCTTCATGCATCTAGATGTTCACTTCCCTCTTCAGATTTAGGAAGTGTTCTGTCATTATTTCTTTAAATAGGCTTTCTGCTCCTTTCTCCTTCTCTACTCCTTCTGGGACTCCAATAATGTGTATATTGATTCAGTAGGTAATGTCCCATAAGTCTCAGATTGTCTACACTCTTTTTAAATATTTTTTCTTTTCATTCCTCTGACTGGATAGTTTCAAGTGACTTGTCTTTGAGCTTACTAATTCTTTCTTCTGCTTGGTTGAGTCTGAAGTTGAAACTCTCTACTGATTTTTTCAGTGCAGTCATCATGTTCTTCAGCTCCAGAATTTCTATTTGGTTCTTTATGGTTTCTATCACTTTATTGAACTCCTCATGTATTGTTTTCCTGATTTTGTTTAATTGTCTATCTATGCTCTCTTGTAGCTCACTGAGCATCTTTAAGACAATTATTTGGAATTCCTTGTCAGACAGTTTATAGGTCTCCATTTCATTAGGGTTGGTTCCCGGTGCTTTATTTTGTTCCTTTGGTGGTGTCTTGTTTCCCTTATTATTCTTGATCCTTGTGGCCTATTTAAATAATTTGGCACATCTTCCAGTCTTTACAGACTGGCTTTGGCAAAGAAAGCCCTTTACCAGTCAACACAACCAGAGATTCTTGGCAGGCCAGCAGGTAGGATCCACAGGTGGGCTTGCTGCTGGAGTCCTTGGAGAGGCTGGTCTGGTGCCTGAGTTAGTGGGTGGGCAAGCCTGCAGCCTGGATCTGAAAGAATGAGCTTGTAGCCTGGGGCCACATCGCTGGCTTGGCACTGGGACAGACATGGAGGCTGGGTCCACAGAGGGCTGGCCTGGAGGCTGGGTCAGTGATTGCATCTTGGAGACTAGGGCTTCAGGGGCCAGCCTGCAGTCTGGGGCCATGGGGCCAGTCTGGTGCTGTGGTAGGCTTGGATTCTGAGTCTACAGGGGAAGGCCTAGAGCCTGGGTCAATGAGGGGATGAGTTGGTGCTGAGGTTCATTGGGGTAGGCCTGGTACTGGGCTCCAAGGTGAAGTTGGGTGCTCACTTCACTCTCCTTCCCCCATGGGAAGGGTATCTCTCTCTGCATTGTGCTGTGTGAGCTTAGAGGAAGGGTGACATGGATAATATGAAAATGTCCTTCCTACCATCTGCAGTGCACTTTTTCTTATTTCTGTGCTCCACTCAGGTGCTGTAATCTCTCAGCTGGATTCCATAGCTCTTGGGAAGGGATTTTCATGCATGGATGGTTGTTCAAATTGATGTTACTATAAAGGGACAGGCACTGGAAACTCCTATTCAGCCATTTTGCTGATGTCACTCCTCCATGTTAGCTGCATTTGAATTTAAAATCTCAGAACATTCATAAAACACATTGCTCACCCATGTCAGTGTATTGAAGTACAGATCTAAGAACATTTTGGATCCTCCACTGGCCTCCTAAGGGATCATGGTAGCTAGATTTATAGGTTCATCCTTGTCCTATCCACTGCCAAAAGACTAATTTGCTCTCTAGGCACAAATTTTACAAACCTTGCTTTGCCTGGCCCAGGAGCCAGGAAACATCTACCTTTACATGGAGAAAAATAGTTACGTCTCCACTTCTGCCCTTTAATATCCTCTTTGCGTCTCATAACCATTTAGAAGCTAAGGGTGAACCTCAGTACTGACCTTCACTTTCATCCAGGGGAGAAGTATAGAACACTGTCCTTTCCCGCAGCAAGCGCTTTGAAATCGTGATTGGTTTGTGCCTTCTTGCTGTCACTCGAGGTGGAGGCACTGGGGGTGCAGCACTTTCCTCAGGTGGACCTGAATAGATCTGTAGAGGGGGAATATTTCCAGGAAACAGTAAGAAAGATCAAGTTTTTGTCTCCCTAATGCTAACTACCAGTTGATGCGCACCAGCATTACATCTAGAGTCTGCCATAGCAATTTTAATATGACTCAAGGAATTGGGGGGATTTTCTTAATCACTCTAGCTACCAGCAAGTGTTTAGAGATCTTCTACCACATTCAAGGCACAGGACCTGACGCTTCCCAGTGTGGAGGAAATAATGCAGACAAAAACTGCAACATCAGCCCTGGATTTTCCACTTACAGTCTGGGAAACCTTAGGCAGGTCACCTCCCGTGTCTGAGCCTTAGCTTCCTCATCTGTAACATGGGGAGAGAATCACCTACTTTACAGGGTGTGGTGAGAATCAAGTGAAAAGTGTACTCAAGGTACATTGTATGGGTAGGGGTGGGGTGTGGAAAGTGGCTAAAAACATCCATATGAATTCAATGTTTCCGAAAGGATACCAAAGAAATTGGTTACACTGTTTGCCTCAAGACAGGAATAATGAGTGGCTGAGGAAAGGATGGAGGAAAAGTTATTTTTCATTCCTATATCATTTTCATATTTTAAAATTTCATACCACGTATGCATTACTTATTCAAAAAAGAAAGGGTAAAAACGAAATGCCTTGGAAGATGTAAAAAGTGCTGGATGAATGAGAGAGGACCTGTGATTATAATTTCTATATAGAGTCTCATATGTACTTTAGGGTCTTCCTGTCTATGGGGAGATTGACCTTTTGGGCCAGAGTGCACACACTTTGGGAGGACACACATATGCGATGAGGGAGGAAGGGGACCAGGGAGGAAGGGGACCAACGTCCAGAGCAATAATGAAATCAACCCCAATGATTAGTGCAAAGAGAAATGTCAGAGCCCCAAATTCTATCAGGCAAGAGTTAACATAGGCTGCAAAGTCACAAGCTTACATGATTCAGAACACAAGGAAAGCCTGTGTAAAAGCTGGAAAATGATAGAGAAAAACGAAAGAACAATCACAAATCAGTACATGTCTCAACGTCTCATGGAGTAGCGAAGAAAGAATATGACATAATAGCAAGCAGATGAGCTTTGAGACCATATGATTTTAGGCCATATTTCTGGTTCTACCACCACTAGTAATAATATTCTAAATAGCTAATATTTTGTGAGCATCTGCTTAGGCACTGTAGTAGTTGTTACAAATAGTCCTTGCTATTCATCAAACACACCAGGGCCTTTGAACCGAGTGTTTTTTTTACCTGAGTGCTCTTCCTCCAGATATCCATAGAGCTTGCTCTCTCAATTCCAGTAGGATTGTGATCAAACATACTCCTCTCAGTGAGTCTTTAACTCACTGAGGTGAATGTATCTAAAATTTTGACATGCCTCCCTCTACCCAATGCTTCCTCTCCCCCTTCCCTGTTTAAGTTTTTTTCTCCTTAGCATTTCTTACCACTCTCTAACATAGTATATTGTACTTATTTTTTTTGTTGTCTGTCTCCTCACTCAATTGTAAGCTATATGGAAGTATATCATCATGTTCACTGCTATATCTCCAGCAACTAGAAGACTGACTGGAATCCCTGGGCCAAAAGACAAACACATTTAAAATTTTGATATAAAAGGCCAAATTGTCCTCTGAAAAGACCATAATGGGTACTTCCATTTCCAGCCAAGATAGGACAAAAGGGACTAGATTTACATTGCCAGCCTGAAACAATTTAAAAACTAGGAAAAATATATGTAACAATGGTTTTCAAGGCATTGGAAATCTGGCAATGAAGAACAGTGATCCATGAGAGATAGGAAAAACAAAGGAAGTGAGCCTCATGATTGTCCCAGTTTACAGCCTGGAGAGAATGTGCAGGCCATAATGCAAGGAGGGGAACCCAGGGTGAACCCAGCAGTCTCCCTAAGTTGAAGACGTTGAGGTGGAAGTATGGGGAGGGCAAGGAAGTTAGAGTTTTCAGGGAATAGGTCCAGAGAGGAGATAGCTGCACAGAGAGCTCTGGAGATCTGCAGCTCTTTAAGACTTTAGCTGAGTAGTGATCAGTACATATGTGTGAGGTAAGAACCACATGATAGAATTGGAGGGAACAACTACCTAAGATCACACAGTGCCTGAAAGACTTCCTGTTCTCACCAGCCACAGTGGAAAATCGAATAACTCATAGGACACTGGGTAGAGTACACAGACAAGTTTTGACTCATTAGTGAAAAAAAATTAAACCTAGACTAAACACTATTCTTTTTCTGCCTAAAAAAACCTAAAAGAAATACTCGAAAGCATCAAGCTGTTTTCAAGTAACTTAACTGCATCCCAGAAAAAACCTCAAGAATATTATTTATAGGAATACAAAAATGGCCAACATCCAAGAAGGTAAAATTAACAGTCTTGCATCCAATAAAAAATTACCAGAAATAACTTACACATAGCTCTTTCCAATTTTGATGTTTTTAATTTCTTTTTCTTGCCTAATTGCTCTGGCTAGCACTCCAATACTATGTTGAACAGGAATGGTGAGAGGGAGCATCCTTATATTGTTATTGATGTTTTTTTTTATTTTTGAGGAAGATTGGCCCTGAGCTAACATCTGTTGCCAATGTTCCTCTTTTTCTTCTTTTTTCTCCCCAAAGCCCCCCATACATAGTTGTATATCTTAGTTGTAGGTTCTTCTAGCTCTTCTATGTTGGACGCCACCTCAAAATGGCTTGATGAGCGGTGAGTAGGTCTGCGCCCAGGATCCAAATTGGCGAACCCCAGGCTGCCAAAGTGGGACATGCAAACTTAACCACTGCACCACCAGGCTGGCCCCTTGTTCCTGATTTTTTTTTCTTTTTAGTGAGGGAGATTAGCCCTGAGCTAACATCTGTTGCCAATCCTCCTCTTTTTGCTGAGGAAGATTGGCCCTGGGCTAACATCTGTGCCCATCTTCCTCTATTTCATATGTGGGGTGCCTGCCAAAGCATGGCTTGATAAGTGGGGCATAGGTCTGCACCTGGGATCCAAACCCACGAACCCCGGGCCGCCGAAGCAGAGCGTGTGAACTTAACCACTATTCCACCAGGCCGGCCCCACCTTTGCTCCTGATTTTAATGGGAAAGCTGTCCACCTTTGACCATTGAGTATGATGCTAGCTGTGGGCTTGTCATATGTCGCTTTTTTTCTGTTAAGGTATGTTCCTTCTAAAGCCAATTTGTTGAGAGTTTTTATCATGAAAGGATGTTGAATTTTGGTAAATGCATTTTCTGCATCTATTGAGATAATCATATGATTTTTATTTTTCATATTATTAATGTGCTATATCACACATTGATTTGCATATGTTGAACCATCCTTGTTGCATCCCAACAAAGATGTTGTTGCATCTCAGGGGTAAATCCCACTTGATCATGGTGTATGATCCTTTTAATGTGCTGTTGAATTTGGAATGCTAGTATTTTTTGAGAATTTTTGCATCTATATTCATCAGGTATACTTTATAGTTCTTGTGGTTTTTTTTTTTGGATAGTCCTTATCTGGCTTTGGTATCTGGGTAATGTTGGCCTTATAAATGAGTTTGGGGCATTCCCTCCTTTTCAATTTTTCTGAAGTTTAAGAAGGATTGGCATTAATTCTTTTAATGTTTGGTAGAATTCACCAATGAAATATCTGGTCCTGGGCTTTTCCTTGTTGGGAGATTTTTGATTACTGATTCAATCTTTTCGCTTGTTATTAGTCTGCTCAGATTCTCTATTTCTTCATGATTCAGTCTTGGTAAGTTGTATATTTCTAAGAATTTACCCAGTTTTTCTGGGCTATCCAATTTGTTGGCATACAATTAATCATAGTAGTTTCTTATTATCCTTTGTATTTCTGTGGTATCTCCTCTTTCATTTCCAATTTTATACAGTTGAGTCTTCTCTTTATTTCTTAGTCTAGCTAAAGGTTTGCCAGTTTTATCTTTTTAAAAACCAGCTCTTAGTTTCATTGACCTTTTCTACCTTTTTCTGGTCTTTATTTCATTTATTTCTGCTCTAATCTTTGTTATTTCCTTCCTCCTGCAAACTTTGGGCTTAGTTTGTTCTTCTTTTTGTAGTTTCTTGAGGTGTAAAGTTATGTTGTTTATTTGTGACCTTTCTTTTTTCTTAATGTAGGTGTTTATCACTATAAAACTCCCTCTTAGAACTGCTTTCCTGCATCCCTTAAATATTGTTACATTGTTTTTCCACTGTCATTTGTTTCAAGATGCTTTTTGACTTCCCTTTTGATTTCTTCCTTGACCCTTTGTTTGTTCAGGATTGTGTTGTTTAATTACCACGTATTTGTGAATCTTCCAGTTTTCTTCTTGTTATTGATTTCTAGTTTCATACTATTGTGGTCAGAAAAGATACTTAGTATGATTTCAATCTTCTTACATCTGCTAAGGCTTGTTTTGTGACCTAACATATTATCTATCCTTGAGAATGTTTCATGTGCACTTGAGAAGAATGTGTATTGTGCTGCTGTTGGGTGGAATGTACCATATATATTTGTTAGGTTCCTTTGTTATAAGGTATAGTTAAAGTCCAATGTTTGTTTATTGATTTTCTGTCTGGATGATCTATGCACTGTTGAAAGTTGGGTATTGAAGTCCCCTACTATTATTTTATTGTTTATTTCTCCCTTCAGATCTGTTAATATTTGCTTAATATATTTAGATGCTCCAGTGTTGGGTACCTATACATTTACAATTGTTATATCCTCTTGATGAATAGACCACTTTGTCATTACATAATGACATTCTTTGTCTCTTGTTACAGTCTTTGGCTTAAAGTTTACTTTGTCTGATATAAGTATAGCTATCCCTGCTTTCTTTTGGTTTCCATTTGCATGGAATAACTTTTTCCATCACTCCACTTTGATTCTATGTATATCATTGAAGTTGAAGTGAGTCTCTTTTAGGCAGCATATTGTTGACTCTTATTTTTAATCCATTCAGCTACTGTATGCCTTTTGATTGAAGAATTTAATCCAGTTACA